TGTGCCATGTGACATTCTTCACTTAGTTGTCCAATAATTTGTGTTTGTTTAAAAATTTTGAATAATATCCCCAAAACAAGACTCATGATATATACATAAATAACAAGTAGACTATGAATAAAATGTAAAAGTTAAAAATAAAGCATAATATTTATTGTTCACACGTTCAAAAACATGGGATAATAATACACTTACTTCCACCCGAGTGTACGTGTTACTCATCATTGCAATCAAAGCATTGAGTAATACGATTATAGCACATACGTGATAGAGTGCAAAGGTTAATTCTCCAACAGACACCGTGAAGGAATGGTCGGCTTCTACGGAGAGTACTTCTAAATCGATTAGGCCAAACAGAGACCAATATAGCGTCCTCACAGTTTGCATCAAACTAACATGAAAAATTAAAACATGATTTATATGACATGAATTCGGTAAAATAAAGTTCACATCAATAAGCACATTATATATTATTTATTAGCAATATGTTTCAGTTGCGATTAGCATATTGTTTTCGATAATTAATTATTTTACATATGTATAGGCGTAGTAGAATCTAATACTATTTAAACACACGTGCACAGTTGTGTAGTGTCGAATAAATATTGAAAGCATGTGTTGAAAAGAATAATTCACTATCTTAAGATATAACATATCGACTACATGCAATAAGGAATAACTATAGTGAACAGTGTTCTCGGTTTTCTAATTTCCATATTCAACTTTTTAATTGGAATGATTGGTAGCTTGACATCAATAAGTGATAAGTATGGGTCGTCCTGTCATCTGAAAATTTACCGATTCTATAAGTATTAATTGATTTGTTTAACAAAGACTATCCACAAGAAGAGCTGAATGTAATTCTTGTGACACATAACAGTATGCTTACCCATCAAACGGATGCGTACACCTGTATTTAGCTCCACTGTCTTCGATATTTTCAGTGATACATGCAAAGGAGCTATCGCTGGCGTAGAACTTGTAGAGTTGTGTCAAACCAACAGCAAACGCCAATAACATTAAAAAGAATATGCACAAAAACTTTGCAATATCGTAGATCATCCCAGACAATGAAATCTGCAAAGGGCCCACGTGTCGGTTGATCACCATGATGTGGATCAATCGTAGAAAACTCATAATGTTTGCCATAGCAAAGAGAGCCTCAGCAATTAGATTTGGGTCACTTCCTGGCCATTGCATTCTGGTTTCTTCATTATTCACAGCACTGTAAAAGAATTCACTGGTGCTTGCAAACAGGGCTCGGCCAAACGCAATTATATTTTCAGGTGCTAATGGCTTGGACATCAGTTCGTCCGCCCCTTCCTCGAATGTTTCAATCAGGTCATACAAAGTAACATTACTAACAGTTATGTTCCACCATGATGTATCGTTTGCCGGTGTGATATCTGGATCCGCTGTAGCCTGAAATAGAACAAACAATCTATTCCATCCAGTAATATATCTGGCATAGTTTAGAGTGCGACAACAAGTATTTCAGTGGCAATTAGACTCAGAAACAGAACGCACGTGGTACGTAGAGAAATGCCAACCAAACAAACAGACGATAGCATGCACAGGATAACAAATAAGTAGGATAGACGGTTTCTTGTGTTCCACGTAGTCCACTTTGGTACGTACCATTAATGTATACACTGTCGACAAACAAGTAAGATTACAACTTCCTATGAAATAGTGTACATTACCTCAATTCCCATTGCATAAAAGAAGAAAGTGAAGGAAGCCCAATAAAGACCAAGCTGTAGAAAATCTAAGACGTTCCATGTGTCACTACAATAGTTTTTTATACCACCTGACCATATCTCCTTGAATTCCCTCCACGTCATTGCTGGAAGAAATTTACATTTTGAAATTATCAAAATAATTGGTAAACGCATGCACGCGTTATGACACATAGATAATGTGTTGGTTAGGTCACACGTTAAATGTTTTTTGGATGATAATTCTTTCCAAGGGTGTATTTTTGGCATGATGATCACACAAGTAACTTGCCAAGGTTAATGTGTTCGTATATTCTGATTTTCGATATTCGCTCTATATATAAAATTTGAAATAAAATACTTCGCACTTCCCATTATCACGGGAATGGGCTGTCTACCCAAATAATGGCCCAACTGCGTTTATTGAACATATCTCC